ATATATATATATATATATATATATATATATATATATATATATATATAAATGTTTTTATGTTAAAAGAACTTGATGGTTCTCAAAGGTCATATATTTTTGCTAGTGCCTATACAACCAAAGTTTTTTTGCATTCCAATACTATTTTGTTGTTGGTTTTTTTTGTTTTTTTTTTTTGCAATTTTCTTAAAGTACTGAGCTCAGTTAAAGTAAGGATTTAATAAATCTTTGAGCCATTTATATTTATTGTAAAACTATGATAATAGAAAGCAGCTATGTCCAATGAGCTTTAAAATTTCACCAAAAAAAGAAGACCACCAACATTGATTGATAAGAACCTTGGCTCATCTCTCTCAAAGTCACTGTCAGAAGTCTGAAAATATGATTGTATTTGGAACATATATCAAAATACATCATCATCTGTAAAAGTCCAAGCATCCAGATATTTGTTCGTGGACAGCTAAGGGAAAAATGTCATCTCATGTTCTTTGAGACAAAGCGAGAGAAATGCTTTTGAAAACATGGTACTTAGTGTCAAATTTAAAGCTACCTTATTCTTTGGGAATTCCAAGTCTCTAGGATTGAAGTCCAAGAAAGGAATAAAACCCAGTCAAACTGGGTTGTGAATATTTTTATGTGATCTGGACCAATGACCGCTCTGATATCAAGACAGATTTACATGGGAATTTATAAAGACTATCTGCCGAATTTGCCAAATTTCTCTGACTTGTAGCTCAGTTTTCCCCTTCTTTGTCTTATGTCCTGACAGTTGCTAGTTTTCATTAGCTGAGTCTATAAATGTCTTAACTCTCTGTAAGACTTTAAATTCTGTATCTCGGGTAAGTTTTCCTGTGTGCTTATTATTATTTCACTTGACATATTTTTCTACTTTAAATGAAGGAAATAATTACATGAAATTAAGCCAGATTAGAACAAAATATTTATACACATAAAATAATGTTCAGTTTACAGCAATCTCTGGCATAAGACATATTCTTTTAAGTTTATAAAATAACTTTAAGAAAATAAAATATTATTTGATATCTTTACATATGTCAATAAATTCTAATAGTAGCTTCATATACAAAATAGTCATAAATCTATATTTCTGAATATTTCCCACTTGGCTCAATTTTTAGAAATATTTATATGTGTATGTTATGGGGTTGGGGACAGACGCTCTACACCCATGTGTGAATGTACACCCCATGCATGGAGACTGGAACAGCATTTCAGGTGACCTATAGATCTGGCTCAGTGAGAGACCCTGACTGTAGGGAATAAGCCAGCAAGTGCTAGCCTGGCCACAACAAGCCTTTGTTCTCAGTTTGTTCTCCACCCCAGCAAGTCTGTGTTCTCAGTACAGTATCTCCGGCATCTAATAAGAAGCCTGGCATAACCTCAATAAATTCTTGGTAGAGGAATGAGTATCAGGATGCTTTAGAAACACAGTTTACACAACAAAATGCAAATCACAATGATCTTCAGTCAAAAAAGTGTGAGCAGGGGGTTATAGTGCCCCTTAGGAAAAGCCAACACTTGATGTCTCATCTGTTTCTCTGTGTAACTACAAACATGCCTCTGATATGGAACATACCTTGCCAGTAAAAGCTTCCGGGTCCTCCCACTATAAGGTCTCCATTCTGCAAAACAGAAGCATCGAGGGAACATATGAACAAGAAGCCAAGTGTTTTAAGGGAGCCGAGTCACTGCTAACAAGCATTGCCCCCAACGAAGCATTTCTCGTAAAACCACGTTTTCTTAAAGAGGTCCTTATGCCTGAGGGCTGGAGGGCCTTTCCTTTTCTTTTCTTTCCTTTTTTTTTTTTCTTCTAATTCTTTTGTGTGTTGTGTTAAATAATTTTAATCTGACTCAGGCACTTTGACCTGGCTCCCTTGAGAGCATATAAATTTGGGGGAGGGGGAATGGGGGAACTGCTGTTTTGAAAACCTTGGAAAAAATTCATTTCAATTATTTTCAAGGCAACAGGGATGTCTTCTTTAAAAATACATCTACTGCCAGCAAGATGGCTCAGGGGGTAAGGGTGCTTGCCAGCAAGCCCAACAAGCTGGATTTCATTCTTGAACTCATGCTGTAGGAGAGAACTGAGTCCCTAAAGGTGTCTTCTGAGCTCCCACTCACACAAAAAAGGGGCTTCTCTCCAAAATGCAAATAAAAAAAAATAAAATAGTTTTTTTTTTAATCTGCAAACCCATCCCCCTTCAAAAGAGAAAGCAAAACCTCTAGGTTAGCAAATGCAAGCAGCTTCATTCTCTAGCTTCAGTCTGTAGCTTCCAGAAAAATATCAAAGCAAGCAATCATAAAAAAATGCAACGAAGCAGTAGTGAAACAGAGCACGTGCATATGAAATTTCCCAGTGCTGATTTCAAAAGCACAGAGCCATTTTCCTTCACATGTGTATCGAATGCTCTTTGCTTTCTGAGGGGGCACGTAAATTTTAATATGAATAGTAAACCAAGGCAGCCAATTCCAGCTGAGTGATAAGGTGAACAACAAGTCGATAGATTCTTGTGGTCTTTGCAAAAATGAGTTTTTGAGATTTGCATCTGAAAATGAGTAATACTGGTGATGGGAAGGACGAGTTTCTTCATCTCATCTGCTTTTCCATACAGTTATCGTGTGCATAAATGTATATAGAAATAGTCATCGGGAAAACAAAACAAAAACCTTCCAGGAGAAGTTACCAGACATGACAGGCTCCCAAGCCTTGTCTGGTTATTATTGTTTGAGGGGCGGGAAAGACAGGAAATAATACAGTAGCAACAACAACAAGAAAATTCATCCCACACTGCATGCTGAGGGACCGAAAGATTCACCTTATAGAAGTCTAGACTAAAGCCTGCTTGGCAGTAACCTTGGCCTTCAGGATCAGCATTGCCTGGAAAGATCAAAACATATACCGATTAGGTCATTTCTGGGGAATATTTTATAAGCAATGAAGATTATTCTGTTGTTTCCCCAATATACCATTGAGTTAAAGAGACCAATCTGTGTTTTATTTTAAAAAACGCATTTCAGGAAATATTAAGTATATTTCCATGTATTTTCTGATCCTGAATATCTCGCTCATGCTGTGGTGAGATCAGCTTGAGGGGGTGATTATTCCTGGGCTGTTGAGCACAGATCACACAAACCAATCTCCGGTTGGGGGACCCATCAAAGGATGGGTTTATGTTGGGGTGTACGCTCATATTCACTTCTAAAATAAAACTTCCATCTTCTGATTGTGTTCCAAAATGCCCATGTGACAGAAGTGTTCACTTTGCCCATTCCTGACGTGTCCACCATTTCTTCAGTGACAACTTGAGGTGATACCTTCCTGGAGAGAGTAACAGCAACAACTCCCTTCTCATTCTTCATGTAGCCCAGGCTGGCCTCAAGCTCTCTATGTAGCTCAAGATGAGCCTGCACTTGTGAGTCCCCTATCTCTACCTCCAGGGTGCTGGAATTACAAATGTCTGCTACTTCAGCCAGCTGTGGTGCTGAGACCAAACCCAGGCGACTGCTGGGCAAGTTCTCTGCCAACTGAGCTGCATCTCCAGCTCTTTAGTAGAAACGTAGTTTTAAATTATACTAGGCTAATTTGAAAATTGCATTTCTGATTTTAGTGATTTCACAGGGACCTTGCAATGCTAATGTTGGCAGAAGAAGAAACCCTCCAATAATGGTCTATTTTATATTCTCTCGACTATCTGAAGAGCCACTGAGGACCTGTCATACAATTTTATAAACACATTTACTCCCTGTAACCTGTACTTTGAAAGAGGTCCTAGAACTTCTAACAGACTTGAATTGCATTCAAAGTAGTTAAGTAGGGGAATCTCAGCTATTGAGTAGTTAGAGAAGAGCTTACTGACAATTACATGTTCTGCCGATATCATTCAAGCCGTGCAAAGGAGCAAACCTCGCTGTAGGAAATGCTGGTAGGCTGGGCATGCCTCTGTTTCATTAGACCTCTGAAATGGATCTGGCTTTTCCGGCTTCCTAGAACACTGTCCATTTTCTTTCTTCCAGCCACTTCATCATTAGTTTCAGCTTCTCCTCACTAAATCTGTGCAGGCACCCATCTGGCCTATCTGCTTGCTTTCTGTTCTTGTAGTTTTGTTTGTTTGCTGGGAGAGACTCTCACACAGCCCAAGCTATCCTGAAGCCTACCATGTAGCAGAGAACAGCCTTGAACTCCGGATCTTCCTGTCTCTATCTCCCAGTCTTTGGGTTACAGGCATACGTCACCACACCTGACCATGCTCTCTTGACTTTTAAAATAGTTTACTAACCCCACAGAGTATCTTTTACCAAACTTGTTCCTTCATTTACAACTGTGTGTTAGGACTTACGGTTATGAATTTTGTAAAGTTCCCTAAAAGCTCATCTTTTTTAATCTCAACTAAATAATCTCAATTTACGGAGTTGTAATTTTCAAGAAATCTAATGGTATAAAATTTATACATATTCAGAAATATACATGAATGTATGATGTAATCTATGTGAACTCATGTGGATTTCATTAATTATATTTAAAAATTATTTACAAAAACAAACCTTCTTAAAAATCCACTTTTGAAATTGCTTCTCTATTTTTAATATTGTAAATTATTCAGAAGGGCAGAAACCTGGCCATTCTTTACTTTAAAAAGGACGCTGAAAAAAAAAATCTCTAACTGAAAACAAGTCATTGAGAAAATAATCAACTTTCAAGGTTTGTTTTGAGTAGCAGTTAGAGAAGAGTGGGTGTTCTTTGCTCTGCAAGCCCAGTTCCCTTCTCTCATTGAATTATAATTTATGAGGCCCAAAGGAATTTTTCTTCCTGGACCCTCGCAGTGTCTCTAGACGTTATGCCCTATTATAGGCTCAGGCATCTAGGGATGTGTGCCATTCATTTTCATCCGCCGCCTGTGGTTAACAGCTACAGTGAAGTTGAAGGGCTGTGAGAAGCACCCTCACCTGAATTATGAATGGCCGCAAGAGCAGAAGGCATGCCATTCAGACGCACATGCAGGCTACCGCCGCATTGTTCCCCGTGGCCCCAACTCCGCTTAGAAGTAATACAAGACACTTCTTTCAGTTCTCTTTTGAAAAAGATATTGCTGATATTCCTGCTCTGGGATATTGACCATATGCTCACGAACAAGCAGGCTTTGTGTTCGTGGACCATGAGCGTCTCAGCCTTGACAGGAAGCCAGCTCTTTGACTATTTTGAAGAGGAGGAAGTGTGAGTATATGAAAAGTGTAGGTATGCCCTACAGCCAAACAGCTCCTAGCAAACTATTTCACAGCTCCACTATTTCATTGGCTCTGCAGATTTCTACCTGGGAAAAAGGAGAGCAAAGAAATGGGCATGATATGTGCCCACGGAGTTCAAGATTCTTGGGTACTATAATTTATAGTTTTAAATTATATATTTAAATTATGGTTCAATCTCATGCTGAAACAGGCTCCTCACAGGCTGAGGTTCTGTGGATAGTGTCTTATCCAGGCTTTCGGGATACAAGGTCATAAGGCATAAGGGCAGAATGAGAAGTAGTGACAGGTTTCACAAAATGAACTTCATGACAGCCAGAAGATTCTAAGTCATCAGAGTCAATGGGTATGTGAAGAATGCCATCATTTGCTGCTGTAGAAAACATCTCCAGCAAACAGCGAAGAATAGAATATGCATAGACGTAAGTGTTGATGAGAAGGCTGACATTGAATCTTTTCAGTGCAATAATGTCAGCCTCTTATCTGGTGTGGACTGTGGCCACATCCCAGCTTTTACTAGTGTTGGCAATTCTTCCTTTCCTACTCCAAATGTCCTCTTCTAAGAAATCCTTCCTGTCACCCTTTCTGAAGAGTTTCCCTTCTCCTGGTCCCTCCGGACTCAGGCCACTCCTTCACCTCGTCCATTAAATAGATGATACATAATTATTTATTTATGTGACATTTTACTAAATATTATGGTATTGTGAGTTTATTGGTTTGTTCCCTCTTTCTTCCATTATGCCCATTCTTTGGACACAGTTTGCTTTCTCTAGTTCCTTGACACACTTCTTGCACATAAAATACTTGGTGCTAACGTGGTCAGTAAACAACGTTGAATAAATAATTGTATCTCATTCTTAACAAAGAACCTTAATTTTAAAGCTATTTTAAGATAAACTCCTTAATCTCAGATATTTATCCAGCTCACACCTAGAAAACCATACTCTGTTTCCTGCCAAAAGCCTCTTGAAAAGCTCTTGGGTTTAAAAAGTTCAGGGTTAGTTCAGAGCTGTAAATCCCAGTGGCTTCTTTATGAACCCTTTAAAGACCCTGATACATTCTTTATCTTCACTGTTATATTCTGATTTGCTTACTATCTTTCCCCAAATTGACCTTGAACCTAAAAAAATGTAAGTATGGAAAAGAGGAAATTTTATTTGTAGCTTTTGGGACAATCTATAATAATTTCAGACTGAGTCTTTAAAAAAATAATTTTCTAAAATAAGTTACTTTGATTTTCTCTGTAGTGACATTTTCCTCTTTACAATGTGTTCCCATTAGTTAAAAGAATAGTAACAGAAAGTTCTTTTGTTGCTTGTTCATATCTCCCAGTGATCTACCAAAACAACTTGAAAAAATAAAGAAGTTTACAAAAGACTTTCCAGCAGATAACTGGTAATCAAACATCAGACATGACTTCCCAAATTGGACCTCAGCAGCCCTTAGATGGCACTCCGATGTTTTCTTTAAAGGCTACTTTAAACTGGTGTGGGGGAGTATGCCTGCTGTTAGATTTTTGGAGGCTGAGTCAGGAGGATCAGTAATCCGAGGTCAGCCTGGGCTTGTTCAAAACCAGCATAAGAGACGCAGATGGGATGCTGTCCTGGGAAATTTCTAGGACGGCTAGATGACATTTGGAGTCTAAGTGGACAGAATCTTAGAGGGTAAAGGGGGTTCAACATTTTAAACAGAAAGTGTGATGTGTAGATAACAAGTACAACGCTGCCAAACAAAGCAACACCAATTAGGAATGAGGGCTATGTAATGCTGCAGTCAAAAATGATCTCAGTCCAATCATCCTAGCTGATATTACTGCTTCCTTAAACAAGTACAGTAGCTAGGCAGCATCCTGTGGAGCAATATGTGGGGATTTTCAGAAGAAACTGTCAGCTAGGAGCCAAACACAAGGAACCAATCAGTTCTACCAAATACTAAATACAGTCTAAAAACTGACTTTTAAACACAGAAGAGTCAGTGACATAGCTCACATATGTGTTCCTGCTGACAAGGCTGATGACCCAAGTTCCATCCCAAAGACTCACATGCTGGAAGGAGAGAATCAACTTTATATTGTCTGACTACTACACATGGGCTTTAGCATGCATGCATGTATGTACATACATGCAAAATACATACATTTTTAGAAGTTAAAAAATGTGGTTGTTTGAATGAGAATGGCTTCCATAGTCTCATATATTTGAGTGCATAGTCCCCAGCTGGTGGAACTGTTTGGGAAGGATTAGGAGGTGTGGCCTTATTGGAGAAGGTGTGTCACTGGGCCTGGGCTTTTAGGTTCCAAAAGCAAAGCATTCTAAGTTAGAGCTCCTGTTCTCTCAGCCTCCTCCGTGAGGATCAGTTGTAAGTTCTCAGCTGCTGCTCCAGCACCATGCCTTCCTGCCTGCTGTTATGCTACCATGACAGTCATGGACTTATCCTCCAAAAAGTGAAAGCTCCAATAAACTTTTTTCTTCTGCAAGTTGCCTTGGTCAAGGTGTCTTAGTTTCTTATAAAAGTAACTAATACATAAATAAATACGAAATAGATCAGTAGAATTTTTTTAAAATCCTCTTAGATATTAGAATCTTGACTATCCTCCATCACAACTCTCAAGCTTGAAGGCTTTCAAGCTAAATTTCACCATCAAAGAATAAAAATAACTTACTGTTCCGGCACGGAGAATGCTCAGCGTAAGCACTGAAATTCTGAATTGCTACATAGCATGTTCCAACTGGGTCCTTGGCTGGATTAGGTTTCAGAGTTCTCCAGTGATACAAAGGAGCACAGGCCTGTGGATATCAAAGGCAAGAAATTCAGTTTTGATGTAGGTTTCTCAAACGATAGCTTGATTTGAATTGTTGACTAGTACTCTGTGGCTATACCAACCCTGAATGCACTCGACTTGGTCTGAATTGGTGAGTAGTGTAACAGAAGTTATATGAAATTATGTTAAATTGTTGGGTAAACTAATTGGTCCACAGAATGTTCGTGAGTATCTCAGTAGCCAGAGTCAAACTTCCAAAACTAATTTTTAACATTAATTCGTTGAACAAGTTATACACACTCTACATAAACAAGGAGATGATCCGATCTCATGGTTGAATTTTTAATTGAGTAAAAAGTAGAGTGGCAAATGAGAAGCATTTTCTAAAAGCCAAAAACTCACATTTTCTATTCATTCTTTAAAAACAGGTGAGGGGAGAGCTATAACATTCAAATAGTGACTGAATTAACACCATGTCTTAAAATCACTCATCTCTTCCTTTGTCTGGATATTAATATTTGAAAATGGCTTTTAAATCAGTGGATTCATGCAGGTTTGTAAATCTCCGTTCTGTGGACTACCATAATTTATCACTGAAGTTGCATCTTATAAATTTTTAAATAAAGACTGCTATGTAGGAAGGCTACCTTCTTAGCATAGCAGTTTTTACTAGTTTGAAGATAATTGTTTTTATTCATGGAAAAACTGGAAGTCAAAGAGCATTGAGGACAGCAAGCATTCAAAGGGCACATGCTAATGACAGACAGGCACATATTTAAGGTTCTGTGACCCGATGGGAAGTAACCCCATACTCTGACTTTGCATGCTCTGGAAAATTTATTCTGACATATTCCAGTGACCACAGATAATCTTCATGATGGGGGTGACCCACCCTAGTCACTCCATAAATACATGTTTAATTCTAAATTGGCAAAAATTCTGCAGCTTATAAGTAAAACATCCCATGATCATTTCCAGGTAAACCCTGAGAAGAATGCATACCACACAAACATTTACACACACATTAAAGCCTTGCATAGAATTTGCTTAACTGCTGGCCACACTAAACATAGAACTTCCTTAATAAATGCATGCCTAATGAAATTAAATTTATGCACTCTATAGAAGCTTAAATACAACTGTCTATCAGATTATTATGAATTAGCTTTTACATGTTAGAGTTTGTGGTATGTAATTTGTCATACCAAATATTGATTTGATGACTTGCATACATGTTCTAATTTTAGGATTCTGGCAAAATCAAAAACACACTTTTTAAATTATGTCTTGTGATGCCATTTCAAGTAATATATTAGGGTGAAATGAGAGAACTGCCTTCAAATTAGCTTGCTTAGTATCAGGAGTTTTACCAGGAAAAGTTAATTTAAACAATAATAAGAAAAGTATGTTTCACTCATAGCCCAATCTGGTTTCTTCTTCTTCTTTTAATTAATCTGTTTTTCAAACTTCATTATAAAAAAAATCAGGCAGATAGAATAAACATTACACAGCAAAATTAATGAGACCCAAAGTCTGTACATCTCAGTGAGAGCAGCTGTGAGCTTCACACTGGGCTTCACACTTTGACTACTGAGTGTGTTTTAGGCACTTATCTACCACCAAAAATGAAAACTCTGTGGCAGAATTAGAACTAGAAAAACTAGAAAAAAAGAAGATTTGTATCTTCTTTCATGATTTATGTCCAACACCTGCACTGAGTCCTTTTACAAACTAAAAACAAAAAAGAAAACAAAAAATAAAACTGCAGACCTATTAAAAGTCATTTATCTCTCAATAGTTTAGGCACATATAATTCTTTACCCAATAAGAGAACAAAAGCAAAATTACAGCATTGGAAAGATGAGGGATTCCAACCTAAACCTGGGACTGCTTGCTGGGCAATCATGGCTCACACCTTTGATCCCAGCATTGAGGCTGAGTTCTGTAAATTTGAAACCAACCTAGTCCGCAGAGGTAGTTCTAAGATAGCGAGGGATACACAGAGGAACCCTGACTTGAAACACCAAAAAAAAAAGAAAAAAGAAATTGCTTACTTTAAAAATCATTAACAAATTCAGAGAAATTGCCAGTTGGTAGTCTTTAAAGCTCTTACTATTAAGAAAAACCTTCCCTCTGTTCTAAAAAAGATACCACAATAGATTAACATTTAAACAACTCTGGAGTGTTTTCCCTGTACCTATTTTTCTCTGGTTCAACTTTAAGTAACCTTTTAATTTGCTCTTAAGCAATAAAGTATCTACCTGTTCAAGCAAAGCTTTTAACTTTCGATCTTTTAAAGTGTTTGAAAATTTCTAAAGTTTTTGAAAAAAAAAGTCATTTCCTATAACTTTAAGCACATTAAAAAATAGGTTCTTTAATTGCAGTCGCTGAGTGTCTGGTTTTATGCACCACATTTCTCTAAGCTGCCAGTAAGTCTATCAACATATCCCTCTAGAGAAGCACCTGTGTACATCAGGCATTTAAATTGTGAGGTGCACAAAGCAAGCGGTTCCCCAAGCCCTGCATACTCACCACGACTTTTCCTCTGTGAGCTCTGACTGTTGCTCCAAACCATTGGTTTGACTTAAATTCTATAGGTTCTTTGGTTCCATTAACTCTGATTTTCCTGTTGTCTGACAAGAAGGATGAATTATGAATAGTTTATGAAGTATGGTAGTTAATTAAAATATAAAGGAATAAATTTATACATTAAGAAACCAGAAATAAAGGAATACCAATCTTTCTTAAACTTGTCTAGAAAGTTGAAAAGGAGAAAATGTTTCCAAGGGCTAGAATTATCCTGATATTAAAGCCAAACAAGGATTCCATGAGAAAAGAAACCCATGCCAACATTTCATACGTGTAGACAAAGCATTGCTAATATTCAGCATTCTTTCATGTTAAAACTCTCAATAAGTTAGGAATGGCAGGAAGAACACAGCAGAGGCCATCCATCACAAGCCTATATTTAGTATCATATGCCAGGAAGAAACTTAAAACCTTACTCTAGGATCAAAAACAAGAAAGCATGCCCTCTCCTTTAGCTTGTTTGTGTGTGTGTGTGTGTGTGTGTGTGTGTGTGTGTGTGTGTGTGTCTTATCTCTGTGTGCACATGCGAACAGTATCCACAGAGGCTGGAAGAGAGTGTCAAAGTGTCTGGACTGGAGTTAAGGCAGTTATGAGCTTCCCTGTGTGGGGGCTGGAAATTGAACGTGGGTCCTCTGCAAGAGCAGCAAGTGGTTTTAACTGCTAAGCCATCTCCAAAGACCCCCCCGCCCACGTAGATGCAACATAATATTAGAAATGCATAGGATTATAAGACAAGAAAAGAACGAAAGATATCGAAATCAGATAATGTACAGATAATGTGCTCTTCTAGGTGAAAAACCCTAAACACTCCAGAAAACAAACACCCCACAAAACAAAAACCCAAATCATTAGAAATAAAAGTTTGATAAAATTGCAAGAAACAAAATTAGCAAACAAAATTCAGAGGGCTAGGGATGCAGAGAAATGATAAAGTGCTTGTTTTGGTTATGTAAAGCCCTGGGTTACATTACTAGTAACACACGTTCATGGACACACACACACACACACACACACACACACACACACACACACACGAAAGAGAAAGAAAGAAAGAAAGAAAGAAAGGGAGGAAGAAAGAAAGAAAGAAAGAAAGAAAGAAAGAAAGAAAGAAAGAAAG